TGACCATAAGAAAAAATACATTGTCAAACAAATCAAACTGAAGCAGTGGTGTGATTGATTTGTGATATTAAGAATGATAGAAGCAGGAAAAACATAGGTTCCTATTCACCAGCAAGTTGATGAGATTTTGGATTCTACATTCAAACTGGACAAGATTCAATTTATTCATATCATGCTTCATTATAGTTTATTTACATGGAAAGGTAATTGTTATTATAGCTTCACTACATTTTTTTTGCTGTTGCAGTTAACATTCATAACAAAGTTTCATTTAACATACAATGTTCAAAGAACTTTCTTCCTTTCTCTTCAATACCATTTACTACATCTGGAGAGGAAGCAGGTTATTAAAAAAACATAACTTTTGATTCAGGATATTAATTGAATATGTGAGTAAGATTTGATGATTTCACATGTAACAGGATGATCAAGCTGAAGATAGCCTAAAAATTAGCTGACTAATTTGGAAACTTGAGCACTTAGTAAATACACCTTGGCTTGCAGTTTGGACTATTACAGTTTGCTGAGGTGATTGAAATGTCAGTCCCCATGGAGGAACCTTCCAAATGATCTGTAAAGTCTCATACTATGAGATACCTTTAAAAAATGAATTTTGTTGGTCAGTATACTATTGTAAAAAGACCACCACCTGGAGACAAAAATTAATGACTTCCAGTAAGCATGAATGTTTGGGAGAAGTTATAGTGGTAATCGACCCTACGTTTGCTAGGATGCATATAATTATAGGGTTTGATGATTGTAATGTGTATCTTATAGCTTTCAAACTTTCAACTTTGTATTAATGGTAACTGTTTACCATTATTAGATCTATTTCTCTGTACCTTAAGCCCTCAAATGTTGAAGCAGGTGAGTCTACAAACTGACTGCCTTTGTTGGGAGTTGTGTGATTATATAATTTTTCTGAGTAAGTAACCTCATTCTAACATGTAATATTATTATTATTATTTAGTTTGTATGAAATACTCTTGCTCAAACTTTCAATGGTGCAAGGAATTTCTTGCTTACCTATGGTCATACCCAAACTAAACATTGATCTAAGGAATTGGTCACAGGATATGTGACCATGCCATGCACAGAGAAAGAATATAACTGCCATAGCTTTATAGGTTAAAAAATTAAAACAAGAGAGTTGTGTAGAACATATCTTACTTTTTATCCTCCTCTGGATGTTTACTCAGTTAACATAGTCACTATCAGTCTAATTCACTCTCACTGTCCACTGAGCTTGAGAAAAGAACCTCAGTATCTTTTTTAAATGAAGAAAAGGAAGCCTGCCCTCCTACCAAAGATAGTTCTTTTATGCATGAGCAAATGTCCTTTTTTGAAAGCACTCGAGTGCTTTAAAAATAGACAAAAAATAACTCTTTAAAAAGTACTCTTGTAAGACAATGACTTTTCCCACTATCAGCACTAACCTGGTCTAATTTGTACATGAGGGTTATTGTTCCAGGTAAGCTAACCTTATAAATTGGTTGTGAAAATTTCTTGAACCTGTCATTGTGTGAATGTTTGACTTGATTTTACCTCACTAACCTAAACTGAACAAATAGAAACTTGAAATTTATCTGCTCTCCTTTTGAGGTGTGCATCAAAATTATGAAGTCATGTCAGGCTTGAACTAAAGGTTTATAGGAATCTGCATCTTGGCGTGCGTTTCCAACATTGCAACTTGGATTATGACTACTTGGAATGACTTTACCACATACTGTACAGGTACAGGCAGGTGTTTTAAAAAAGTTTGCTTAACTTTTGCATTAGTACACATTTCTTTTTCTAAGGATATTGTCTATCTGGCCTATGCTGAATTTTAATTTTTCAACCAATTTTTTTTTATTTTGAATATTGTTAGATCTTCTAGTATCAGTTAATACTCATGTAATTAGAAGAATTAAATGAAATCTTGCAGGTGTATGGCACATCACTTTTTCCTCTGATCCTACTAACATTTCATAAGGTGAATGGATAGGTATTGGCTACAAAAGTACAGTCAACTCAAGTTTTGTTTACAGCCTATGCATCAAATTTATGTAATAAAAAATTGTATCTTTCTAAAAGCTAGTTCATCAGAATAAGAATGAGTTTGGAGGCACAAGTATGACTTTTCATGATCATAGTTTTCAGGTTTTAGAAAAGTCACTGCCTACTAAAATCCTCAGTTCCTTTGCCCTGACAGCCCAACCTCATCAAAACATTGGCAACAGGAGCGATTAGCAAATTAATGATACAGACAAGAGAGCCAATTCCCACATACACCCTCCTCGATCCTGTTAGCTTATTATGGACATGGCATTTCAAATATGGTGTATATAGTACCACAGATTTTCCATTTCCCTTACTAATTATTTTGTAATGGTGTTTACAAGTTGTGGAAAATGATTGGGTCGAAATATAATACAGAGACTTGCTAGTATAGAGTCAAATGAAAACTTTTTACATATCAATAAAATTTAATGTTGTGTTTCATTTTAACATGTTGCAACAACTTCACCTTCCAGTAAATTCAAATTCAAAGCTTAAATACCAACTAAAGCTTTTCAACCTATTTAAAAGAGCTAATAACAATATCAACTCAATTTTTAAACTTAAGACTGAGAAAACCTTGATTGATGTTTGGAATTCATTTATGTGATATACAAATGAAATTCAGGTAATATCTCAAGTTTTCTACAAATGTCTTCATGGTTGAATCCTTTGTCTCTCTGAGTCATCAAGTTTTAATTATAATAAGATATTCTAGTTCTGGCTTGTCTTCCTTTAAATCAAACTTTTGCAGCCCAAGAAACATGCTAAACAAATTTCGTATTTCAGCAGCTAGAGTTGCTAAGATCATGGACAGTTGGCTTAAAGACACCTACATTTTATGTAGCTACAGCAGAGGTTACTGAATTAAATAACAGCTCTTAGCAGAATTATTTCTGTCAGGGTCATCAAAGAGATATTCTTTCAATGTGTGATATCGCAGGAAGCAAGGTGCTGGACACATTTGCACTTGGCAAACTCCCCACTCAATGATTGTTTCCACTGGTTGTATGTGTACCTTACATCTTCTGTTTGTGCCAGTTTTTTATGGGATAGTGAAACTGCACATGGATGAAGCAGATATCCGATGACTGGGTGGGATTTGCTGACAAGTTAATTTAACCTTCAAAGGTTACTAGTGTAGAAGTGAGAAGACAATCTGAGTGCACAATATAAATCGCAGTTTAATCAAATGAAGTACGTAATCAAAATTACAAATGAAAATAAGGAGGTCTGAGTGAAATCACAGATGAAGAGGGCAAAGTAGGATTGAAGATAGCGTAGTTCTGATTGATGGTAACGTTGTAGCTGAATTTGTGTGGTTCAAAGTAAAAGAAAATGCCGCAGAAACTAAACTAAGAAAATATCCCTGAGAAATGTAACACTAACCTAATTAACAATGAAGCGATTATAAAGTGAACTGAAAGCGAGAAATAAATCGATATACTTATCAAAAAAAGGAAATATCTTAAATGAGAAATAAAGAAAAACTTACTTTGATCTAGCTCCTAATGACTGTAGATAAATCGCCGATAGTGGATCATACGTGAACAGCAGACAAAATTGGTGGCGTCGACAGCAACTTATAGCGATGAAATATGAAATATAATATCTGGAACAAATGCTTAAATGAAACTGATTGAAATAAAAAACATATTAAGTAATAATCATTAACCAACGAAGAAATAATAGACCGGATCAAACATAACAGAAAAGTACTCAAGTTACGCGTTTGGAAACTAACAGTTACTGCTATCTCTTCGAAAAGAATTTCCTGAATAAGGTGATCCACTAGTTTCTCTTTGAAAACAGCTAGCCTACGGATTTCAATTGTTCCGGGAATTTCATCAGTGTCATCCAAAGACAAATTCTGTGACGGTGCACAAACTGCAGTGAATCTGGGCTGCAAGGCATTAAAAAATGGCCTGATTTTCCACAGTAAATCTCATTAGAGTCATCAGGGTCTGGAGCATTGATGTTATCAACAAAGTACACAAGCCGCAAAATTCGAGGATAGGGTTCTCTCAATAATTATTGGGTTAGGAAACATTAGAGTTTTAAAATCTAAATTACTAGACCAGTAAGACTTCAAGTTGGGTTTTTCCAATAAGCCCATTGCTTAGGTGAGGCCTGAAGCAAAGCCTTCAGCTCTAGAACAGTCAAATTTTGAGATGACCACGCACGTTTGGATGAAGTTGGAACTTTTGGCGTTTTGAATGAGATGATCTCATTCAAAATCATCTGGTAAACATTATCAGGGACGAGCATAGTTAAGACAACTGCTGTTCTCCATTTCTATTGTCACAACAACCCTTTTATTGAAGTTTCGGTCTTGAGGATGACCAAATCAAATTCGAGTTGTCACGCTCCTCATTTTCTCAGCTGCGATCGTTTTCTTCTCCACTTTCATCTGCTGATTCTTGTCTTCGCTACTTTCGACATCAGAGGGTGCTTCGTTGTCAGAATCCACGTGGGAAACACGGATAAAGGCACCAGAGAGATCGTCTTCGTCCAAAAGTCAATCCAGTCGCTTTTGTAGCCTCCATATCAAACTATTTCGCTACCAAGTTTTACGCTGAACATCTGACAACGCCATATTTAAAAGGCCACCGCAAAATACACGTGATAATAAAAGTGAAAAATTCCCAAAAAAATCTTATATTTTGAGTTTCAAGCTGTTTCACAGAAATGAGCCCAAGTTTATCTGCCAGCGGCTTACCAGCCGATTTACCTAGGTTGATCATGTATGGGGAATTATTATCTACTCAATTCATATTTTTTACTATACTTTACATACATACAATAACGTCCATGATAATTCCCCATACATGACGTAGTAAGTAGATTTATACCCATTCCCCATGGATAGACTGAAACAGCAAAATAGAGGCGACGTAATTTTTAACGTTAAGGGGAAGTGTTAATCAGTGAAGCGGAAACCTATCGAGTTTAGAGAAGCAGTCATAATGGCTTCAGAAGCGACAAGTGAGAATGAGTAAGTGATAGAAAGAGTTGTAACAAGTTTTTAATTTGTCCCATTTATCGAATACATGCATCTCGTTGAGGAAGTTTCGAAGACTTGACATGGCGGCGAATGTTTCAAAGCAAAGCTTCTCAAATCGGCTAAAGAATAAGTGAAGAAATAGCATCAAATGGTGCCAGTGGTTTCAAGAGTTTGTTGGCGAAGTCTATTGCTGAAAAGTTTATGGTCTGTTCTCACAAACGCAATGTTTCAAGGTTTTGGTTGAGTCATGCTCGGTTTTGAAATACGCAAACATTGATAACAACTGCATGTAGGCTATTTTATTTAGTTATGAGCCAAGTGTCGCTTTAAAGCTGCGAACATATCCGCGCTGATTTAAGATTTCCGGCTTCCATTCGTTCCATTTCAGAAAATTTGCATTTTTTACAGACACGTATGTTTACCTAATTCATTTAGAATTATGATTAGCTATATGTATGCGCCATGCTAATAAATGGAGAGTGTTAAAGGACTTTTCGTTATCCGTTTCTGTCAGAAATCTAGTACCATTGATCTAAAAATCGCACTCCCGATTCAAGGTTGCATGACCAAATTGGACTTCACTCGCTTTTAATTACCATTATTATTTATCTGTTCATTCCCCTTCAAAAAGAAACCAGTCAGTAACCGTTTAATTATTCAATTCAGAATACATGTGGAGAGGTAAACATTTACGTAGCAAAGGAACCTCCCGCGTCACTCTAACTACAGATCTTTTATAAGGCTCTTTTCAGCGTTTTCAGTACTCCAGCTAGGATACTGTCCTCGCATCGTGCCCCACATGCAAAATACTATATGCACCGAATTCGTAAATGGCGGCCGCGCGGAAAAGCCTGGTTTCAAATACAGAAAAACGAGGCTCGAAAGGATTTTATTCAGTATCACTATGGCGTCTTGTTTGGCAAGTTCATCGGATAGCGTTGTTATTCTCACAGAAGATGATATTTAAGGGGCTTCACTGGAGGGGAGAATTCCTTAATTATTGAAGAGCGAAGAATTGAGGTTTTGGCTGTCGAGGAGATTCCCTTAAAGGTTTCATTAAAACTGCATCACAGGAGTTTAAGAAAAGCATATCAACTTCCATCTAAATATTATGTACATTGGACTTTAATGTCTTTTCGAGTGAACAGCACTTGGTGCCTCACAAGCGAGGCATGATCTAATCTGTTTCATAATTTCTATGCATGCGCAGAGATGTTGATGAGATTGGGGTTGCCAATTTCTGTTATCATGGGGGCATCTTGTTTAAGTTACTATCATTGTACTTTGCCATGTAATTATAGGATCTTGCATATTACACAACGTGGTACACACACCACATTTGATTTACTATGCCAAACTGGCTTAAAGGAATTACTCCTTCAAAAATTAAAAAGTTCTTGACCTTGTTAATAGCTCTTTCTCGATAAATTATCAGCGAAGCAATATCCTGTGTCTTAATCACATCCTCAGGTGACATATGATCTGACATCCCCAAGAAAGGGGGTATATTGAGGGAGATACTCAGGGGAAGTACGTCTTCAATGGTGAAACCCTTGTCAGCCATTATAGAGTCTCGTTTAGAAAAAGGGAGGTATAGAAAAACACTGCGCTCAACCATTTCCCTTTCTGATATGCTGCTTGTGTACAACTGTTCAATAAATGCGAAAGACCCCTTGGGTGAGATTCCTACTAGTCCCTTTAAAGTGGTGTGATGTTTATAAGAACTAAACAGTTCACTATTTAAAAGAAGAATAGGTGGCATTTCGCAGCGAATCTCTGTGCAGTCAATGATCATCTTTGTTGAAGGGTACTTAGCCTTGAAATCCTTTGGCATTGTCTCATCAAGAAGTCTTCTGGATGGCCAAATATTTAGCCGGCCTAGTTTTAAGTACATAAAGTTGCACCGTGTAATAAAAATTCGACTGAAAGTCGACTGAGTAATATAAAATAAGTTGGCTAGATGTTGTTCAGATGTTGTTTTGTAACAATGCAACAATCTGGTCCTCTAGTTCATAAATTTTGGTATCCTTCACGGATTGACGCTCGGTGAAATAAGAGTCCGGTTCTGTCACCGATTGTTGTTGTCGTCGATGAAGATGAAGATATCGCACTGGGAATTTCGATAGACGTTCTTTCCAGACTTTCTTCCCATGGCGTCTCGATCAAAATTTCTCTCCTATTTTTCAAACGAGGAGTAGGCGGAGATCGTTGTCGTGGAGAACTTCGTTTCCACGCAAAAATTGAAGGCACTACTCCCGGTTTTAAAGACACCACGTGCGTTGAGGTAGTCTTGAAATGTTCGGCCATGAAGTGCCTCGAGCAAACCTTGTTTGAATTTGATGTAGAGAAATTCTTGCCTAAGTCCCTTCACATTGTGTGAATCCACTGTTTTCTTAGGTTTTTTTCGAATGGAAAACGGAGGTAAGATATTTTGGCACCAATTACTTTGTCTCGATAAATCTTCTTCGTACACAGAGGAACACAGCCATGTGTTGGCATTTCTGAGTTCTCATCCATAAGGAAAGACTTTTTACGAGGTTTCAAAACTCCACAACTCTCATATAGTCTCCCGGATATTCTACCATAAACGATAATAAACAAAAGAATGCTAATATTTTGGGTTTGAAGTACCATAAAAAGAATCTCGATATAAAGTTGCCCTTTCATTGAATGGCTTTCGGACTTCGTTTACATGTGTTCGAAACCAGGCCGTTCTGAGAGGGCGCCATTTATGAATTCTGTCTATAGAGCGTTTTTTCATACTACATTCATAAGATGATACATATTGAAAGTTATGGATGCATAAGCTACTATATTTCTTTTTTCTCTTGCTGTAGTTGTTTGAAAGCTCTCAACCAGCAAAGAGACTTTGATTTTGGATGTCTTGCTCCTGCAGTGAGTGCTCTGTTATATTTCGTATATTTTGTTGGGTAATGATTACAAAAATAATGATAACGACAGCAATAATGACGGTTAGGAGTGTGTAGAATATGATAATGATGATGATATGATGATGATGATAATTATAATGATGATGATGATGATGATGATGATAATGATGATGATGATGATGATGATTATGACGACAACGTTAACGGCAGCGATAGCGGATTTCCTTTTTTCCTTGCTCTTTACCGTGTGGATATGGAATTGGAGAGGAGCCATTATTTGTTAAAGTTCGAATAGTGAAGAAAAGGAAATAATTTTAAGTGTTCTTAGTTATGTCTGTTGGAAAACAATCATGATAAAACTGGTGATGAAAGGTCGTTAGCCTGTGTGCGATACGTGATTGTACAATTGGCGCTGGGAATCAAGTTTTCCTTATATGCGATGTTGTTTGTGTAATCCATGAAATAAGATTTATTTTAAAGAATCATTTTATGTTTCTTCATGTTTTTCTTTGCAGTTGGTTATTATTTTAGTTCTTTCATTCCTGAAGCGACGCACTAAGCTTAAATTGGAACTCTGGGATGGGCGTCCTGGACTACTGATGTATGTTGTCCGTTTATTAAAATAGATATTTTTATAGTTGTTTCATAGCAAATTTAGAATTTGAGCGATTGGGCCCCCATACACACGCGCAAATGCACACACACACACACAAACACCCACACGCATGCGCATGCACCCGGATAGAAGCCTCTGCCTCAGTGATTTGGCCCACTGGAACCCGTCGTGCTTTGCGTTGCAATTGATCCCGTATATTACGAAGTCTTCACGTTACAAAATGATTCAAATCTAGATAGACGCCACAATTTAAGTATAATTAAAAAGAGAAAGCTTCAAAGCTGAAAGTGTGTCTCAAAAGCTTGTCCATCACATGTAAAAGTGTGTTATTTGACTCCAAATTTCAAGCATAGGTGCGGTAAGTTGTTTCAACTAGCCTAATAACTACTAACTTCCACTCTGGTCCTCTCGCCAAAATTTCGCTTGCTCTTTAGGCTAGTTTAACGCCAACCAGGATTTGAAAAAAGAAAAAAGTTAGTGCAATTTATCAACAAGTTGTTGGTTTTGTGGCTTCTGATCAAGCTGCAGTACAATTTACCTTAGTGACAATATATCTGCATCATTCTTCTTTAGACCCATGAACTTTCTTGGTGGTCTCAGTAACAGGTGGACTATTGCTGTTACGTTTGGAGCCACAGGTAGCACTGTTATAAGAATGGCATTGGGTGGAAGCGGCAGTATCTCGATTGTCCCATTGGAATCTCCCTGGGTGAAAAGTAGGTAACTCTAGCGCTGTTATGATCGAGTTTCTTAGCGGTGTTGGAAGTAAGAATCATCATGTAGAGCATATTCCTTCAGAAATCTCTCCGTTATGCGCATAATGAATGAATGAATGAATGAATGTGTATTTATATACCGCACATATCACATACTGTCTCAAGGCGGTTTACAATTCTAATTGAGTGAGATCGAACGTCAGCTTGTAAAGGCGCCTCTGGCTGCCGCTATCAGTCCATATTTGATCTCACTCACCCACCCAGCCCATGCATGAAATGTACAATGAAACAACAGATAGACCACCACACCGGGAACTACGCCCCCTACTCTTTTCGACAAGTGTGTGGGTTCTTTAACGTTCCCTGCTGACCATGTAACACTGAAGATGCAGGAGACGGGGCCTACGGTTTATAGTCCTTATCCGAGAAGACTTGAATGTCTAACCATTTGCTGGTACAATTACAAAGGCAGCACATTCTCCTCAGTTATTTTAAGACCCTGAGTGTTGGTCCGGTCTGGGGTTCGAACCCTCGACCTCCCGCACAACAGACTGGCGCTCTACCAATTGAGCTAACCAGGTGGCGGTTAATAATGCACGATGGATGTCTAATCCAGGTTCCAGTAAATTGCTCCGTAATAACAGGCTAAACCCTTGTGGTCTCCAAAGTACAGCACTATCATCACAACAAGCGCATGGCCATATCGCTATATGTTTCATTTAAACCTGAAATACCATCCCAAAATTCAAAACTAAATCATTACATAGAGGCAAAATAAGGCTTTGAAAACGAACAAAACCAAAATTTAAACTAGCTAACTAAATGTGAATTGAATAAAAAAATTGATAGCAAAAACGAAACAAGTACACAAGAACACACCCATACAAAAACAACCTCTGCAAGGAGACAACCAAAGCTAGGAGACTGAACCAAAAGTATTTTAGAGAAAAGACAAAGTAATTGCAAAAACCGAGAATTAAAAGAGTTCTTTTATGGTTGTTAAAGAAGTATTTGAGGTCCAAGAATCATTGATTAAACCTTCGAGCAATTTCTTTCTTTCTATTTACTCAGTTATCGACGTTTTGTTGGCTGTCCTCCTTTTTACAATACTATTCTATCCATATTTTGTCTGCCTCACAACCGAATACAAGTTCGTTGGTTCTATCCTTGGCTTTCTTTATGGCGTGTTGAGGTATGTATGTGAGTATTTCCTTAAATTATGGGAATTTTTACACTAGTTCGTTAAGTCAGACATAGTGAGACAGAGTAGAAATTCCGGTCATCCCTTTATTCGTTTTTATGGAGAGTGTTTTTCGTGAAACTTCGAAAATACGTTTGACATAAGTTCTCAATTGAAAACATGCGATTTCATGAGATATCAGATCGTTAATTTTAGGTATGGGGCTAAAACAAACCGGAACTCTTCGAAGTTGATGCAGGTTTCTTTACAATAAACACGCCGAGTACTAAAGAATCGGTCCATGCTTTGCGTGCATATATCGATTTATGGATGCACCACCCGGGGAGTTTGCAGAGCACGAGAGAAGCGTAAGAGTTGCTCCAAGCGCAGCCAACAACAACTCTAACTTCTTGATTAAAAATTTTGAAAATTCTAAAATTGTACGGTTTTAAAATTAAAATCTTCAATTGAACAATAGTTTTAGGAAATGTCAACTCTTTAAAATAGTATGATTACACCCGTCCCAGGCTCATGTCTCGAGAAAAAGCAAACGGTTAATTTATGAAAGCACCACGCGTTGTGTGACGTTGGGTTGAGTTCCAAGAGGAACCGTTGAGAATTTGAACACGTTGTAAGGAATAGTATGGGGAACGAAATATGGTCGATTTACAACGATAAATATTTCGACATGTGAACATTTTATAAGTGAATTCAATAGAACTTACTCACATCTTGTGTGTCTGTGGTGGTTTCTGGCGATTTCCGCCATTTTAAGCTTGCTTTGTGTTACGGCAAACTGGCTGGCAATTCTGGAACAAGTACCTCCATAGGAAAGCAACCAAACCCAGAACATCCGATAGTCGCCAGGATGGAATCACTAATAACTAGAGCTGAAAACACACCTCACCATTCTGAGAGCCAAGAGTCGCGTAACCTTCTGCGCGAAATCCGCGAAATAAAGCAGAGCCTTATGGGAGAGATACAGGAACTTGACCGCCGAGTAGACGCTCGAATAAATGGCTTAGCCAGGCGAAATCAAAATAGCCGCGAAGAACCACAAAGACAGCGAACACGAGAGGGACGACCCATTTGTTACTCTTGTGGACGAGTTGGTCATGTGCAACAAAATTGTAACCAGAGGTCTCCACGCGAACCCAATCAGAATTTCGAGTGGTACCAGCCAAACTACCAACGACGCCAAGAAAGAGGAAATTATCCTCCCCGCTCCGGTTACAATCAGCCACAACTCAGGGATGACTCACCTTCTCGAAATCCAAGAAGCTCTCACTTAGCCGCCATAGATAGCCAAGGTCATGAAATGGCCCCACTGGGACAAAATCACCACACGTTTCCACAGGGCAAACACGAATTCCTGGGAAAGGACTCCGGTGAAGACGACGCTCAAGCCGATGAAGAATTGTACCAACAGTACCAAAACGGGTCAGGATTTTACCCAGCGACAGCCAGATATGATGAAGTAGCAGAAAACAAGCTCACGAGCGCGCTTCTGCCAGCTCTAAAAAACCAACTGAGCATTTGTCAACAAACCGTAGAGGACGCTTATGCAAATGATGGAAATTATGGAAACACATCCGCTGACCACTCTGAGAATGACCTACCGGGAGGTCTGGTGACGAAAACCGACGCAGATATAGCCACCCGTCCACTGGGACCGACAAAAACTCTCAAGGCAGAGAAGAGAAAGCCTGACAGTAAGAAAAAGTGCCAGCCAAATAAACTTATTTCGTTCCCCGGGGCTGTTCGCCGAGCTCAAAAGACGATTAAAACCAACACCAGTCCAAGTATGAACCCTGATAACGAGGTGAAAAACGGCTCTCCTCTAGATCCTTCTCCGCCACAGAGTAGCACTTCCGCTGGATGTGAACCTAGATGGAATCGTCCGGAATATAAAGCCTAAACAGGAAGTTAGTTATAAATGGAGGAAGTACAGTTTCAAGACTAAACCCGTATGTTATCGATGTGGACGCCGTGGCCATATTCAGTATTACTGCAACTATAACCAATCTAATGACGGTTTCCAAAAGGAGAGACAGGTCCTACATCGTGCTACCAGACCAACTTACTGTCAACCAGAAGAATCTTCCACTTACGAAGAAGAGAACCAATCAGATGTTGAAGGGACTGCATCACAACTCGAGAGTCAGGAAAACGCCACAAACAACCCTAATTTATTACAGAAGATGAAGCCGACACGAACCAGTGACCAGGGTAGAAAGCCGAGAAATCCAAACCAGAAGCCAAGAAAGTTACAAATACCAAATCAGTCAAAAGTTCAGCTACCCCTCGTAAATGAAGCAGACACGTACCCTGGCAACCTGATCACTAAAGGTAAAATAGCAGGAAAACCTGTTCGTCTAATGTTGGATACTGGTGCAAGCGTTTCAGCTATAAAAGAAGAAGTTTTAAAAGAGATCTACGGTGACGTTCCCTTTTCCACAGTTCAGACTGGGAAAGACAACCTACAGCTAAGAAGAATTACCTTGCCGTTATATCTTAAGGAAAGTCAGTTCCCTTGTGAATTCCAAGTCGTGCAAAACCTTACTTATGACGCCATCCTTGGTCGCGATTTCCTCCAAGTAAACAGAGCTATGATTGACCTCGATAATAACACCATTACTCTTAAAGAATCAGCCAATCAACAAGAGCAAGCATGTTCAGCCTCAGTGCCTTTGACAGGAACGTTTAAACCTCAAGAAAAGAATGTCAGAAGAAATGAACACGCCTCTACCAGCGAAGGTTCAGTGAAGCCTTCTTCAGGAATGTTGCCTTCCCGTTCTCCAAAGAACAAAGAAGTGGCACTAAGCCAGTCACTGTTGATATTAGTGTTCATTGCCGTGTCCCTGTCCGCAACATTTCACACCGACGCAAATGGTAACTTCAGGTCTGTTATCCAAAAACCACCACCGTCCTTCGCACAGGTGTCACAAAAGAAGGTTTGGCACCAAGGCGATCTTTCTTATACCCCAGCCAAAACTGATTACAGAATGGAATCTAACGAGGGATTTGATCAATATAAAGAAGCACCTCCAGGAATGGAAATGCCTCAGTTCATGATGCACCTCAGGAGACTACTTATCCTCAGACCCATGACTGACTTTAGCAACAAGTAGAGAGTACTACTTAGCTGTTGACCAGGAAGTAAGATAGGATCAAGACGATTGATAACATGTTATTTTTAAATTCTTCCAAGAAGTAGTTAACAACTCCTTAGTAAATAGAAGATTACGCGCAGTAAGAAATACGACATAAGGGCATACAATAAGAGAAATATTGTTTTAACTCGAGACAGATTTATCGGTTATAAGAATGCCAAGTTCAATGTTCATTATGACCACTACGTTTCTAGGAGTTTTCCTCGACCAGGAGGTCTCGATTTAAGGTGGGAGGAATGTTACGGGAAAATTTACTGATTTTCCCGTGTGTGTTATTCGGAACAAATTTATTCGTAAACTTTCACATTTAACCATTTCAAGTCCTTTCATTTTAAAAAGTAAAAAAATGCATAAAAACCACGGTAGCTTTTGAATAGATTTTTGTTGTTACTCGCTTTTACTATGCACCTGCTTGTCGGCACTTTTGTCATCTAGTACATGGGTTTTTTTAGGTAAATATAAGTGTTAATGGTCTTTCTGGAAACATTGGTTTTCATGGTAGATAGCAGCTGAGTTTAAACGCGTTAATTTAATTTCTTTTCATGCGATGGTTTCCAAACCAATCTTGCGCAAATAAGCAGAAACCTTTAATTGCTTTTTCGTTTTTTTATTTCCTGAGCTGCGCTACTGCAATTAAGATAGGTATTGTTTTCTATACCAGAGCTGTAAATTCGCACCTAGGTTTCCTACTTTAATGGCCTAAAGTTTATTGCATCCGTCTTTTTAGTTTTGAGATTCTTTCCGTCGTGGAAACAGATGGAATATTTAAGTAGTTTTTGTTTAGCTTCAAAGAGACTTTTTTCCGCTCCTTTGTGTCCTTATCCAAATATTGCGATTCGTGTAACAATAGCACTTCGCACCAGTTACTTCTTAAGCAAGTACCTTGTACAGCTTTGATGATTACAAACTAGAGTATGCTAGAGGTCATGTCGCTTGTTGGCCTGACCTAGAATAAAAGTACTGTGGAACCAAAGATTGTCTTATCCTTGACGCCCGTACAAGCTTACTAGAAGTAGGTCTCCGTGTACCAGGAAATCGTGACGAGTTTCCGTTCTCGCTGCCAAGTCGTCTCTACAGAGTTAGTTCCCCCAGTTATTATTGCACCGTCCGCGAAGATTCAGTTTCCCAGTTTGGGGCGAAAACTTTATCGTCACATTTGCCATCCCTGATATAAGACGAAGTGAAACTGCAAACGTCATGTTATGGGTACATAAAGATTTGTACTATGGTAGTTCTTTGGGAATTAGGTAGGGCTTGGGCGCGGTATGTTATGATGAATATTGTCTTTCTTTTCTTGGTCGAGATGCCTTTCTAAGTTACAATCCCTCCAGTATTTCGACAGTTTCCCGAAAGGGCCAGATGATGCGTTAAACTCATTGACTTCCATTGGTTTCTTTCAGGTTTTCTTTTCAACTTGCTACAGAGATACGTTGCCACGTTGTTTATAAGGTATTAGTTTTGGAATGCATCAACAAACGTGAAGAACTTGTGTTTCCTTATGGTCACGTAGATAAAGCTGCTTGCTGTGTTTTTATGAACTACTGAATGAAGCTAAGGAAATGGATTATAGAGAAAGAGTTAAATCACCCAAAATACTAATATAGTATATATTGCGCTGAAAAAGCGTCATCGTTCTCAAGCCATGAACAACTTTCGGAAGTAAGTCAATTCACGCCCCTGCAGGGGTGTGAAATATTTTTGTCTTTGCCTTAGTCCTTGTCCTTCTCTTTGTTTTGTCCTTGCCTTTGTCCTTGTAATCTATTTTTGTTTTATGTAGAAAAGGCTAAAGAGCACTCCCCGAGTAATTTTTGTTCGCTGTTGTTTCGAGTGCCATTATTTCTGTTGGCTTTAAATTAGATTTTATGAGTCATGAAACAAAATTATGGCCCGTACGGCTCAAGAAAGTAAAGTATTTCTTTTCCTTTTAGAAAACAGGAGCGTATGGAATAATGTTTATTATTTCTAACCTACCTACAACACTGTGCCTCATCTTTATAACAACGCGATTTGCTTTTCTTATTGTTCGACGGGTTAGACAGATGTGGTCTGTACCTTCTACAGAGTCAGCTGTAAGTCAGAGTTGCAAACATGTATGTTTTCGTCACTTTACAGCAGATACAGAAGTGTGTAATTTGTGCATGTGTCTTCGACTAGCTGGAGTTTTAAGATCATTTCCTGTTTAATTAAGCACACGGCGAGGCAATAGTAACATCATAAAATTCAAAGAAAAGCGTTAAGCAAGGTTTCAATGACGCTTTAAAATCCAGATAAAAAAAATTACAAAATATCATGAGATCTGGGAGAATTCAAGACTTTATAAACAAACAGGTGAAAATGGCAACAAGAAGGTAAAAAGCTAAGGGGTTGGATGTATCGGCAACTATTTTTATTGTGTCCCTCAAATCTTTCTCTTTAGGGAAAGGACTCCTGCTCCCGCTCACTGGCTCATGATTCGGACGTTGTTCACGTGAAGTTCATTTTGGGGCAAAAACCTCCAATGTAAGATAACTTTTAAAAGCTCTAAAAAAGTTGGTCCTCTGAACAAGCTCCTGTTCAGTGCCCGACTCTAAAAAACAGTTAAATTTCATTATCTTTCATTGTCCTGGTCTTAATTTGTCTTTGCCTTAGTCCTTGTCCTTGTCTTTGTGCTTTTGCTTATGTTTGTCTTTGTTCCCTTACTTGTCCCTGTCCCTGTCCCTGTCCCTGTCCCTGTCCCTGTCCCTGTCCCTGTCCCTGTCCCTGTCCCTGTCCCTGTCCCTGTCCCTGTCCCTGTCCCTGTCCCTGTCCCTGTCCCTGTCCCTGTTCCTGTCCCTGTCTCGTTATCGTGAGGAATTGATCAGAATAAGAGTTATTATTATTGTCAGCAGTATCGTCTTCGGTTTTTTTCAGATACCCAGACAAGAGAGAATGGTATTGGAAGGTTCTCTACTTTTTTTATATACCAAGGGCAGGTGTGCATGGTATTTCGTTAAAACATAAAAAACGTTAGCATTTTAGGTCCCTTTATTGTTTTTTACCTCATGCTTTACAATCGTCGATAGGCCCTGATTAATTTATCAATTTTTTCATTTATTTCATTATTTTTTTATTAATAAGCGTAAATCTAGACTCATGGATTGGACTAATGACATTGACAACGTCTATGATTTCAGATTTCAAGTTTTCCACTCAGTTGATATCAACAGTGTTTCTCGTTGGGATAGCTGTCTTTGAAGTTAGTACTCAATATATCAGAAGATGTCTTGTCTATCGATTTCGAAATGGATTTTTTCATTCCCTGTATCTCGATTTGTCTTTTGCAAGGGTTCAAGTTTTCAGTATAACAGACGCGAGTGTGTCTATTTATGACCCATATTTTTTAAAGCAAATATTTTCCATGAAGTGATTCTTATATACTCTATTTCTCTTTGTTACATGTAGGTCTCATTGCCTTTGCTAATCATGTGGGAAGAAATTATAGGCGTTCTCAGGGATTCCTATTTGGATATTCATACTCTAAGAGGTAATGTATCGGCAGTAAAACATGATGATTTACCTGCTTCCTAAAATCTTTCAAGTTCAAAGCCTTTATCTACTTGACTATGTGAAGCGGACAATCTTTCGTCACTCTTTTAGTCACTCCGTTCACTGGTCAATTAATCAAACCACTTCCCAAAACTACTGAATAAGTTATAATCCGCGGAAACTGCTCCATAAAAATTAGTCATATTACCATTGTTCATTATCATATTTCAAATAGGACATACTTCGTTCTGATAAGCTGTATTTCCCACGGCATTTCAAAGAAACTCTTACCCCCTGTGAGTATTTCCATCAGAACACCTCACAAAAAAAAAAGACCACGTAAGGAGATCGACCATCTCAGAAACTTTTTGCTATATTGCTGGGGACAAATTGGTCCAGTTCGCGCTGAGATGATTATGAAGTTGACGCTTGTGCGAGAGGAGATCACTTGTGTAAAAAGCCTTTATCATGCAAAGAGAGACTTCTATCAGCTCTTGTACCAGGAGCTATTTAAGCCTGTTCTAGGCGCTCAGTTAATGAAACGATTATAAACGGTGCGACAGTTGCAGACGAGTGAAACCGGAGAAGATTTGGTTCGGGATCGTTACGTTACCTGACCGAAGTCCCCCTCGTTGTTTTTGCCCCACTGCCCCTATAATTACACCGTTTACAAATGCGCCGTTCACCACTCCGCTGCTTTACTACCTAATTGCTTTCTTAGAACAGGCTAGGTCTGTTTTCTATTTTCTGTTGGCTATATTGATATATTTCTTATGTTGATTTTAGGTGGTCTTTACGGATCGTTCATTTTCGCAGGTCTGATTTATATTATAACAACACTTCATTTCATGAAGTGCCACAGGTACTTGTGACTAGTTTACACCTTTTGCTGTTCATTATGAGAAAATACGCATTCATTTATGTGAAAAGGTGAACAACTGCGTGAAGTTACATTCATTAGCGACAAAATACGATCATTTGCACATAAATAAGATTCAATTTTCCATTTTAATCAGCATTCAATAACAGTTTTGGGCATTCTTATGCGTCAATCGTCACACAGAAGAGAAAAACGTACTTTCATTAGCGCTAACCTTCAAGTCATTAACACCATCCTGAATTTCGATGGAGACAATACACAAACACTATAGTGCAGAGACCATTCATTATTATTTTTATCTCACTGTTTGCAATTCAATAGCATTCCTGGACGGCATTAGTGTGAATAAGACAAGCATTAAAGCGCTTGTACATTAATAGAGTGTTTTATGCATTCAATATGCAAGTATCGATTCTCAATTAAACACCTTTTTTTGCCTGACGTTGCATTGTCGGTAAATTTCGTTCAGTTCATTCGCCTTGTGAACGTCTTTTGGCCGCCAGTAAAATGCCATGAAAAAATGGAATGCCACTCGAACACAGAGAGAGAATCGTTAGATGATTCGAAGACCAGGAGGGATCCTGGATACTCGTTTTTAGGCATTCTGTTGAATTCGGACTGAAAGATTATTGTTAAGTTTATTGTGATTCTATTTAATAGGGACCACATGTTCCAGCTCTACCGTGGAGATAGACACCTAATGCAAAACGTTTGCCTCTCACCGGCCTCTTTTGTGGTATGGCAATAAGCTTGCTTTCAACGCTCCTATCAAAATTAAAGAGGAAATGACTAACCTATGCCTACACTGATATATTTTGAAAAGTTACCTTAATTGAAGGGCACGATAATTTGAAAGGTTGGAAAGCTCTCAGATTTTTCCAGAAATTGAGAATTTGCTCCTTGAATAACTTAATGATGGTTGAATGTAACTGACCGTAACAGTCAAAACACGTCACGTTCGCAATCACGTTTACGGTCACAGTTTACGGTCAAGATCACATTTACAGCTGCGTTTATAGTCATGGTCACGATCATGATAACGGTGATGATTTACAGGAGGTCATGTACATTTTGCCTCACTGCTGAATACTTTGTCTTGAAGGGAAGAAGTCTGAGTTATACTGGATACCAAGTCGCCTATGCCGTGATTGGTATGTATGCAATGTTCAACCTTAAACAGTGCATTTGTTTCGTGCTCAGACTGGTGTTGCTCAAACGTATTATGATTAAAAAAATATGTAAACGCTGTAGTTCCAATGATCGATTTTATTATTAATTACAAAAGGAACATCCAGAGTAACATATCAGACCCGAGCCTATATTGAAGCAAAAGAGGAGGTTTCTTTTCGTTTTTACGTTGCCTAAGCTAGTTGAGATTTGGAATAAGTTGAGGGTTTGCATAACTTTCACGTATGTCTTAACACCTCTTGTGTTAATAAAAAAAAGGCTTCGTAGAGCGCTACGTAGTGTCGAATCAGGTTATTCAAATGATGAGTTTTTCATATCTCCAGTATTGGTTTTTCCAAATTTTAGCTCGTTTCTCTTTGCAGGTTTTGTCGTGTTGTCAAATTTGGGCTTCCTTCTAATTCTCATTCCAAGCACTTCTAAGATGATACGCGATTTGATTTCATCAGCTGCGAAAGGAGCTGTGTAAGTAAATTGATAACGTGAATAGGTTGCTTTATATTGTTTACATTTCCCCTCAGGTGTTGACTTGGCTCATGTTTGTTTGTCTTTCTTTTCACTTTTTTTTCTTTTTTCAGACCATCGATAGTGCTAGCTGTCATATTACGAGTGTTCCAGCGCGTGTTCCTATCTCAATACGTCTTTCGTGACAGAGAATACCCAAATTTCTCAGTCGTGGTTGACAACCGGTAACTTAAAAATACAGTTTCTGTTTCTATTAACATGATAAGCTGAGCTGCGCACGTACTTTGACTGGTTCTTGACACATAGATGACGTCATCATAAACACAGTTTCGTTGCTTTATCATTGATTGTTGACGTGGCTGTGTACAGTTATAGATCACAAAAGATGTCAATTTATGGGAAGAAAATCACTGAACCACTCGGCTGCGCCTTGTGCGCCAATTTGTTTTCTTTTAGCTTGCACAGCAGGCGTAATTTTAGCGAGTGGATGCTCAGTATTTTCCTATCTTTGATTTTAATGGTAGCAGAAGGCTGGGAGAGAAAGAAATTTGTACCAAGGGGGCGGTCGACGGTCAAAAATGAGGAGAGGGGTTCACTCTAACTCCAAATCAAACATGACCAGTCGGATGAACGATCGCCAGCTTATAACGTTAGCTCGCCCCAATAAGACGCCTGCACTGCAGGATCGTTTTCTTACCACATCTTTTTGAGTCAACTGTTCGCTACTACTGAACAGAAGCAAGTTAACATGGCGTCTATGTGTTAATGAGAGATTACATTTGCGTTAAGGGTCGGTGTGCCATTCGTGGGTCTTACTCCTCTTCACCTCCACGCAACGTTAAATGAAACAATTTACGTCACAAAAGCTTGCATTCATGCAATAACTAACATTGGCTGTGTATGCAAATTTTTCAAGACAATTTGTCCAAGATAGTGGCTTTGATGCTTAACAGAGAAAATGACTGTTCGTCTCATTTGCAGCAAAAGAAAATGCTGCTCGTCTTGCCAGACACAGGATGTTGGCACGAAAATTAGTTTTCGCAGAGTTCATCATAATGTGCTACCAGCTCTGCAACAATTAACCTGAAGAATTTACCTCTCCTCTTCTCTTAAGAAGGTCATTATGTTTTTAAGAGCCTTATCGTGAATCAGCATATAGGGCTGCCTCCAGGTTCCTCGAGGGTCTTAATGTGGTGATGGCTTTTATGGCTAACAGCCAAAATTTTGGCCTTTTTTGGGCAACAGTTACTTGAAATCTTTCGAAATGACAGATCGTAGGTAGGAAACATTTTTTTTTACGCGTAACAGCTAAATTTTTTTGCCTCCTTACAGCCAATGGCTAACCTCACTTAGACGCTCCTCTTTATGTTTACCTTCTTGAAAGTAGGCCACGATTTCTACTCAAGGTTGTTCCTCTCATTAGCTATAAGCAGCTATTAAATATTATTTATTAAATTTATTAAATATTTATTAAATATTATTTCTTTGTTTCACTTTTTTCTCTTTTGTTCTCGTTTTGGAATCAATTTTTAGACGACTGTTCTCAATCATGTCGTATGCGTTCGTGTTCCTCAACGCCATTGTTGGATTCCTGTCAGGTCTTCTTCGCATAGCTAAAGCTATGATTCTCGGGCTTTTCTTCTTCTCACGTCTCGACCGAACTGTTTTAATGCCAGGATTTCAGAAATGGGACAAAGGTAAGCTCCTCGAAAAACGCATGCTTAGAAAGTTAATTCCTCCGTGTTTAAGTCTTCTGACCTATCATCTCCCATTCAGCGCTTGCCGAACGGTGGTATGTCTGCCGAAAAGTTGAAAAATTGGTCAACTGCTTGTTGCTTCTCAGACTTTCCTTCTTGCTGCTTTTGATATTTTTTCAAATTACCGAAGCATCTGAACAACAATGCAACGCGGCACGATGGACTGGAGAAAAGCTTGGGGGAAGGTGATCGAAGGATTTTGGTTGTATCACAATGAAATCTATGGACTCTCTCCCCCCCATCAATCCTCATTGGCAGTCAATTTGCAATAGTTCCTCTTTAAACTCTGTAAGAGACGACTGATTCCCCTTTCTCCCCCACTGAAAGCCATTCGATCACGTGCAAAATCCTTTTTCCCCTTCTCCACCCCGGTGATAAAATTATGATTGGTCTCTTAGCTAAAGATACTTCAGCCGGGAAAGCTTCAACTAAAACGAACCCAACAGTAACGCAGACTTCAGTTGAGTCCCCATCTAATGCCCATTTTCCCCTTCAACTTAACGAACAGGTTTTGTTGCGTATCTTGGATTTCTTCATGTGTTGGTAGCCCACAGACATCCTGTTGTGTTGATGTTCTGTCAATTGCTCATTGAAAGCAACAAGGCGACAACTTCGGAGGAGAAACGTAAGCAACTTTTAAGAAATTTAATTTTTCTGGTCTTAGAAGAACACATTGAGAGTATTAACTCGAGTAGGATTGGTTAATTAGACAATCGGTCGCTCGGTCAGTAACCAAGTGAATCAGTTCGTCAGTCAGCCAGGCAGTCAGTCAGTTAGTCAGTCAGTCCGTCCGTCCGTCCGTCCGTCCGTCCGTCAGTCCGTCCGTCAGTCAGTCAGTGAGTCCGTCAGCCAATAAACAATACGTAAATCTGTTAGCGTGTCAGTTATTCAGTCTGCCTCTCTGTTTGTCTGTCTATCTGTTATTCCGACATTTGTCCCTCATACGAACTGTCTTTTATCAACAATTATTCGCCGAAGGCGAAGTGAATACTGTTGAATAATTCCCGTATCAATGCTCACTGAACTTGAGGCGAATAACATTTAATTAGTGCAGTTGCTCAGGTGCTTTCAAATAATTTTGCAAATTTTGTAAATAAAGAAAGCGTTTCGCATGTTTTGTCACAATTGTATTGATTATTCGTATCTACTTACATAAGCAAGATTTAACAGTTTCATTTACTGCCATTGAAAGCCGTGTTCCACCAAACTCAGTATGATAGCATCTTTTGTGCTCTTTTCAATTGAAATTTTTTTTCTGTCGCATTTATCACTTCCTCGGACACGAGGTGATTAAGGCAATATATGACGCAATCCTTGACCAATCAGATTGCGCGTATCTCTACAAGTAAATATAGCTGTGTTTAACAAACTGACTCAAAAATCTGTCCGTCACAGAACATTCCAACATTTCCGTACAGCCAAACAACGCTGAGGAGCCAAAACAAGTCACTGGTATGTCACTTAATTAATATAACGTAGCTTTATCGGACAGTGCATGAGTTCCGTTTTTAAGGGAGTCTACATATAGATTGGATTTTCTCAAATACACTTTAGTAAAACTGTTTATGTATTTTGAAACAGGATTCAAACGCGAAATCCGCCATCCACGCCTGGCACAGAGGGTAGTCAACCGCTGGCTTCTGGCCGTAACTCTTCTCCGTAATCCCACGATAATACAGTATCGTCACCATTCCTTTTCGGTACCTATTGAACAGAGTGAGGTCGATTCGTCTTCAATAGCAGTTTTAGTCGATTCTATGGTCTAATATTCACATTTAGCTCATAGCACATAAATAGTTTAAGTATTAAATGAAGGGCATTGTAATAGCTAAGTGCTGTAAGGTATATGGCTGTTTGGAGAAAGTTTATCAGAAAATAACAGAAAAAACTTCACGCGACAACCTCGGAAAATAATGTGGGTATCCAGTCATCAATAAATTTTAATAAGTGAAAGAAAATTAATCAGTTAATCAAACTCGCTGTACGTACAGTGACGTTTCTCAGATTTCCCTTGCATCCTGAGTTTAAAGTGCCGTGACCTGAAAACTATCCACAATACCTTTAGTGGTTGCATTGTCGTGTGCATGTTTACGCTTTTTTATCCAACCACCTCTCTCGAAACAGCTATATATTCTATGATAGGTTTATGCTTCAAGTTGAATACTGCGCGAAAAAAACTGCTTATTATGTCAAAATATAGTAAAATATTTTCTTTTGTTTTTCTTAATATAGTTTATCATCGTGAAACTTAAAGTTCGACTGCGTCTTTAAGACTAAAGTAGACAGTCTTATATTAAATAACAATGAGGTCTGACAGTACTGAAACACTGGGGGGGGGGGGAAGGATGAGATGTGGCAGCCCTACCCCCCCCTACTTACTTGGATAAGCACTGTGCTATCTATAGTGCACCCTCCGTTAAAAATATCTTTCGACAGGCCTGAGTAAATGTAAGTAATATGGGTTGGCTGCTTAATACAGGTTCCGCAGAATACATAAGGGTACTACAAAGGAACGACATAAATTGTCTTTTTATGCCAAAATTGTACAAACCTTTGCCTCAAAATACTACTGACGTTAACTTCGGATTAAATTTTACTTGGATGATTATTGAAAGTTTTATTTGAGTGGTCCCGCTCTAAGTGATATTTCAATAAAGGTGGAAGACAGTGCAGTGAGGCCGTTGGGACTCAGTCAAGGGTAACCACGACCGCTTAATAGAGGTGACCGCTGTTCAGAGGTGAAAATTAAAGCAATAAAGGGGTAAATTTCGCGACTTTGACAACCGATCGCTTAAAACGGTGCCTCTTAAAACAGGTTTGACATTATTATTCAAGTGTAACTGGTGTCAACCTCGTCACCAGGCGTAAAGGCAGCTTTAAAAAGGCAGCGTGGACATCACTCTGACTTTACGTAACACCACACTTGTACCATTACATACTGCAGGGTTACTTACCATCTTGTCGGCTTTATCACCTTCTTGCTGTTTGTCTTACGCGCAATAAAATTCCTCTTAGAACTTTGCTTGTGTGACCATTATCCATGTGTAATTCGATAAGGGGAATAATTTGCATAACGTTAAAGTGAGGTACAAACGTTTGGATGCTTCGAGTACACGTGCGCGTGTCGTTTTGTGGAAGTTTAGTGCGTAGAGCCAAATGCGAAGGTTTTTTAACCGAACGGAACTCTTGACAGACGCGAATATTTGTGGGAATTACCGTTTAAGTTGACGTCCACGATAATTCACCCAGCCTTTAACATGACAGAGGTTTCTTCAAATCACTCTTCCAACGACACCGAAGGGTCGTAAGTATTGTCTTTTTTATGAATTCGGATATTCTTAAAATAGACTTCCGGTTTATGTCAAACTTCTACGAAAACAAAGCTTTCCTTGAACCGAGCCGATTCCTGCAGCAACAGTCGATAAGTTTGTGCGATTTAAATACCATTTGGATTCCACCATAATTATTGCTGGAGAAGAGTTCTGCTTTGACATTCAACCCGTTTAGAATTTTCAAGGTAAAAGATTATCGTTATGTTCTCTAGAACTCCACTTTCTAAGCAATATTTATCCACAGGAATATTCATAGTACTTCATACAGTGTCCACTTATATGCTAAACTTCATGCGTGCTTCAGAAGAATGTTGAATGAACGTCGAATGTCGGCCATTTCGACAGCGTCACGCAATGACAACGTCTTCAGGCAAACATCACGCCGCATATCAGTTTATTTTGACGAGTTTTATAGGCACAAAGTTTTCAAAAAGAAAAAACAACAAACAAGCAAACTACAGGTAACTTATTTAGAAATGAGTGAAGCGCCTGGCAACCACAAGGTGGCAAATTTGATTTTCAAACTTTCATTAATCCGCGAAGGTTTCCATGAAACGTCGTGGTTTGAACGTGAATTTCTCAGACAAATTTGACATTTTGATAATTATCAGAAAAGCTTGGCCACGCGTCACGCAGTCTCCCTTTGTAGAATTCTCAGAAAGTTTCACATACCACTATTGTTCTTCATGTGTAACGATCACTTATAAACCGATATGATTGATTGATGTTTTTATATATGTTTTGTTGCGTTACAGTTCATGTGTACAGACTGAGAGGAAATTTGATCATGGATGTCTCGCTCCCGCGGTAAGTGAACAAGCGTCTGAACAGGCAGGAAGTGCTGATAAAACAAACGGATAAAGAGATGGGAAGATAAACTATCTAGCTCCCAGTTTATAATTCTCTTTATTTAATCGAACTCTTTCCGCTTACTTCGTTCATTCGTTTGTTCGTTCGACCAGTTCGTTCATGCGTTGACATGTTGTTGTTTTTCTTGTGGGGTTGTGTGGCCGAGTGTTTAGACCGCTGGACTTGTAATCTGGTGGTCGCGAGTTTAAGTCTCCCATCCTGCTACTCATGGAGTTTGTTTTCAGTTGCCCCAAGTTCAACCCCTTTGCTTGCTGGTTGCCTCCACCTGGTCGGGTTTTTATAAAAGACGTTTTGTGTCTTCGTTTCGTTACAATTTGTTTCAGTGGATAAGAAGAGCCACCTCGTAGAGTTTCAACAGCTTAATCCCATTATTGTTAGTATTAATATTATTATTATTATTATTATTATTATTATATGTAGAGCTTTATTCACAACTCAGTCAGAATATTTTCAGATGGATACGGAACGAAAACAAATCGTGCTTTATGTACAAAAATGTATATTGACTCCGAAGAACTTGCATAGCTAAAGCAAAATAAGAGTTCACTGGTAAAATTATCAACATAAAAAGCAACTATTTAGAAATCAATCTTTCAAATAGTTGTGAAAGATAAATAGTCTAAAAGTCAATATTTAAATATTGTTTATTATCACTATAATTATTATATTTCCAAGGCTTCGCAGCAGCACGAAGTAAGATATCGCTTTGATGAACCTCACGATGCTTTTGAAATTCATTTTTTTAATTTTATATTATCATTGTTTTCTTTTTATTTCTCTTCATTTTTCGCTCATGGGATTCGTTCAGTTTGTGCGTTCGTTTATTAGCCCAGTTTCTTTGTCCGTTCGTGGGTTCTTCATTCGTGTTCGTTTTCCGTTCAGTTCGTCCTCGGTGCTCGTTCGTCAGCTGGTTCGATCGGTTCGTTCGTTCATTTGTTCTGCAGTTCAGTTCGTTTGTTCTTTATTTCGTCTGTTAGTTTTGTTCTTTCATTCATCAGTTCGTTTGCTCTTTCATTCAGTAGATTGTTCTCAACCGCTCGAAATTCTCCCCCAATAGTCCATTTTACAGTTGTGTGCTTGGTTTCCAAGCCTTTGAACAGAAGTAAGGCTAAGGTTGACCTTGATTTCATACAAATCTAACAGTTTTTCAATCGAAAATTACTTTGTTATCGATCATGCTAACTAGATACAGGTCTCCATCACAACAAGGTCACCTTCACCCTCTCTCCAAGTCAAAGGGTTGGTAACTAAGTACACAACTGTAAAATGGCCTATTTTACACAACACTATTCTTCTCTTTTCCATAGATTGTCATTATTTTGATACTGTCATGTCTCAAACGTCGTAGCAGTTGGAAACTTGAATATTGCAAAGGATACCCCGGGTTGTTAATGTAAGTTGAAGCTCCGTTTCTATCTTGGTAGTGGAAACAAACCTATAAATAATGACTTTGGAGCTACAATTTGTATTTGTATGTTTCAGACCAATCAATTTCTTGGGAGGAATGGACAAAATCAACAGGTATACTATCGCTATTACCTTTGGAGCAACAGCCAGTACCTTCTTCTCTAACTCAACATTGGAATTCGCAGACCCACCATGGTTATCAGGTTAGCAGATCCACAGGCTTCCCAAACATACGATGATAGCAGAGTCTGCGCATTGGCGATTTTTGTCTTGAGAATCTCTCGGATTACTGCTATTTGCAAAAGATTTTGCGAAAAAGTGGATTACTTAAGTTAGAGAGACTATCAAAGGTCGGTACTTTTAAGGAAGGAAGGTGACAATGACCACGGATTTCTCTAAAATGTTTTATGCGATAGAATTGCTTTGCAGGATATACAGAGAACAAACTCATGCGGAAATGAGCATACCCATCTTCTTCAATTACGCCCTACATTAATATTATGCCTTGCATTAGGTTTATTACCCTGCACTAACCACAATGTGCGTTATCTTTCTTTTTAGTTTTTTCTGCTCTTTTTTCTGTTCTTGAGTATGGAATCCTGTTCTACCCATTTTTTGCCTGTTTGACAACTGAGAACAGACTGGCTGGCTCTTTGCTGGGTTTTCTTTATGCTACCATGAGGTAAGACCAATGTCATCTACAAATAGGCCATGACTGAATCCTTTAACTCCTATGAATGTTCAAGACAGAATTTCTCCTTTCAACATCAATTACATATTAGGCAGAAAATTGATGAGAATGAAGAAAATATCAAGGAGGGGATTATAAGTTGATCCAATACCAAATTCTCCAAATTAACATCCTCTGATTTGTGTGGCAGACAGTAAGGGGAATTACTAATCTGATCTTGGGAATAAAAGGTAGTTTAAAAGCAGTTTTTGTTAAAACTTTCCGAAGGCATTCGTTCAAATTAGGATTTCTCTTTCCTCCTCTTTTCTCCCCTACTGTGTTTTTTTCCTTTATTTACGTTTGGCGCACGTTCAATGTGACGAAGGGTTGACGTTCGAAACGACAGCTTTTTTACTCTTTACAGTAGCTGAGTTACGTTTTCAACTCAGTTGTTAACACTAAATTACCTGCTATCCTCTCGCACCGACGCAGCACCACAGTTTCTTTATTATTTTTGACAGTCCGTTTCTCCACCAGCCAGTCGGTCAGTAAACTATTCAATTAGACGGTAAACCAGTCAGTCAGGCAGTCAGTCCCTTATATAGTTAGTCAGTCAGTCAGTTAGCCATTCAGTTAGTCCATCGGTGAACCAGCCAGTTAGTCAGTAAGTGAATCAGTCAATCAACCATGAATTGTTTAGGTGTTGAAAGAATAATTCGTAAACTCCCACAAAAACACAGTTATATCTTTTTGTTTTTCGTTCATTATTTTCAGATTCATCGTTGGACTTGTGATTGAATTTCAGTGCACGGAATCTTATGTAGTAAGAAACATAGTTTTAATAATAAAAATAATATTCATCATCATTATCATCGTCATCATCATCATCATCATCATCATGTAAATATCTGGCATTCGCCAAGGTGCTTGTTGTTATAGTAGTTAATCTATTTTCATTCCTATTTATTGATTTTTTTCCGATGAGCCATTGGCTAGGCACAGTGGTCAAATTCTGCTTATATATAAAAGTTATAAAGACTATGAGACGTGCTTTTGGGCTGTCAGAACCAAGTTGACTCACAAAACTGAGTCACCAAACACCACGCAGGTTAGTGAGTCGTGGTGTTTTAGAACTGTATGACCTGATTGGTGAAGCTCGAAACAGAATGGTAAATCAACGGGATACCCGTGCTTGAATAACCTTTGTGTTCAATAAGTCTCGAGTTTTCCTTTTGTTTTATTTATTGGTTTCCTGAACATTCCAACTTTTTTCTGCTTAGTTTGTGAGACAGCGGTTCATATGTTTTCCTCAGGAACTTTACGCGGGAGATTGGCGCGCGAGCGCCCAAATTTGATCCCCTCACGCATGCCCTAAGCTTGACCGCTGAGTTGCGCGCGCTGGTGTGTTTAATCATTCACCTCCTCGCCCTCTCGTCCCTTCCTTTGTTCTTTCGTTTGCTCGTTCTTGCGTTTTTTCGTTTGTTTATTCCTGAGGCTAGTCGACTAAAGAATTCATTCTCTTAAGCCACCGAGCTCTGCTCTGCATGAACTTGCAAATTGAAGTTTTCATTTTATTCTTTTAGGAAGATATAAAAACCAAGCAATATATTGAATTCCTTGGCAAAGTTCCCACTTACCTCTGTCTACTGTTCATTGCTCTGAGGTTTGCTGTGCTACTTGTTTTGCAAATAAAGCAGTGCCGAGTGCTGTCATCTTGGGTAAGTTCCGCTTGTTAAAAAGACGATGTTACTCGTTTATAGTATGAAAATTTAATTTTAAAAAAATTAAATCACGAAAAATTCCGCTGATAATCATCCCGCGAGGTAAGGGAATAATCATTATTTTAACCTGGGGGGAGGGGGGGTTGGTGGGTGGTTTGCAGGATTTTGGGGAGATGACATGGCTTTTATCACCGGAGGGGAGATTAGTCGGCCAGAATTTATCTTTGGGTAATCTCTCCAAAATTCGTTGCCTATTAGGGAGGATACTAGAATACTACAAAGGCTTAGTTAGGGAATCAGGTAAGTTTTATAGCGATACAAGCAGAATCCTCCTATTTTCCGTCAACTCCCCCCCCTCCCTTCCCGATAAATGGAGACCGATTCCTAAAAACGCCGTAATTTTCTATCAGTCCGATGGAAACATTTTGAATTATGTGTCAGGTGGTAATCTCGACAGTAAAATCTCAGATTTTCTTTTCCATATATGCTCCCGTTTTGTTTATTATTATCTTTCTGGTGTCTATGTACCAACGATCCCTCTCCACTGCCCCTGAAAACTATGTGATCCCCCAAGCATCAGCCATCCCCAATATGGAAAGTTTCCAACGACTCTACTTCTTCCCCAAAACCACAAATTTATGCAAATTTCGCAAAATCCTTTCTAACTTCTGCACTGTACAGCACTATTCAGAAATTTTGGGGGCTGATGAACATCACACCTGTTTGATCGAAGCATCAGGGCGTATTCACGTCAAGCAGCTGCTGACTTTAGGATCGAATACGTAAGTATGTTGTTCTCCTGTTTAGCCCAAAGATGACATGGGGTTGGCGTTCAAAATGTGGCTGCTCGCTTGTGCATGTGCAAATTAGGTGGAGTGCTTTCAGTTTGTGAAGCTCAAGTTGTGTCACATGAGTTAGTAAGTCAGAGTAATTTAAAGGCGTATAACTTTTGTGGTAAAGCTCAAAACAGATTGGCAAATCAACAGGAAACTCGTACTTGAATAAGCTTTGTGTTCGAAAACTCTCGAGTTCTCCTTTTCCCTACTTTTGTTTCCTTTCACAGATTTCTAATAAGATTTCAATTTTCTTTCACTCATATTGTAAGACAAAAGTTGTTTCTCATGCTTTCCTTTGAAATTTTGCGCGGGAAATCAGCGCGCGGCTGGCCAGAATTGATCTCCTCGTGCATGCCCGACGTGCAGACGCTGTGTCTCTCTCACCCAGCCCCTCTCCCATGAAATTACTTCCCCAAGAGATGAAGAGAGGAGAAACTGGGAACGATTTTGGGTCGCTCGTAGACTTACGAATTGTCGCGAGTGGAGAACAATCAAAACACCACTGGTGAGGTTCGTGATTTTCCCCAGAATTCATCCGGTAAATTCCAGAAGGTTAACTGGAACTGTTTGGTAATTCGATTCGAAAATAGTCTATCACTGGTGCGAAATAGGCATTAGTCAGTAAGCGACCGTCCATTACTCATCGCAGGGAAGGAAGGGGAAAAGGGGGTCTCTCATTAGGCTCTGTGATATTGTTTTGATCCCCCTTACTGGCAGTTATAGAGCAGTTAAGTTTTTATAGTATCCCTTTTATACCTTACTAACAACGACAAATTCCCCCTCATTCCCCCCTGAAAGCCATGCGACTCCCTCCCCTCTACTACCACCTCAAAAAAATCTTTTGACCCACCCCCTTCCCCAGTGATGAATAATGCCCGGCCCCTCAGTGGAAAACAATTGTTATCCTATAAAGCTAAAGTAGAAATTGACATTGGAATAATTAAGTTCCAGAACCATGGCTGACGAGAAATGGTACAAGAGGCTGATCTGTAAAATCTACAGACCGAGAGGAGGTTGGTTCCATCAATCTGATTGCTTCTAATAGACAATAAAACTCTTTTGGTTGGAATTTAATATTGAGATTAACTTCCAATATTGCTTAACCCTGTAACTCCCATGAATGACAAAGAAAGAATTTCTTCTCACAATATCCTTACAATATCAAGTACACAAGTGATGAGAATGAAGAGAAATATCATTTAGGGGAATATCAGTTGATCCAATACAAAATTCTCTGAACTGACATCGTAATAATTGTATGAAAAACAGTAGAGAGAATTGCTAATGAGATCTTGGGAGCAGAAGGCTCAATGACAAGAGGGATAGTCAGTTGATCCAATACGAAATTCTCTGAACTGACATCGTAATAATTGTATGGCAAACAGTAGAGAGAATTGCTAATGAGATCTTGGGAGCAGAAGGCTCAATGACAAGAGGGATAGTAAGGGGGTAAGTTTCTAAAGAAACAGCGGTGCTGCGTTGGTGGGAGAGTATAAAAAAGAAATTTGGTATCATCACCTGAGGTTAAAAGCGTAAACTGGCCTCCGTTAAGATTTCTAAAGCTGGAAGTTGGAGCGTTAGCCCTTCGTTAATCGCTCTGACGAAGGGCTAACGCTCGAAACGTCAGCTTTGAAACTCCTTACGGCGGCAAATTTACGTGTTCAACTCAGTTGATAATACTAAATTCCCTAGTCAAGAATTACCTCGGTGACGAATAACCGATGAAAATTGACCTGCCGGTTTCTTTATCGATTCTACGCTCCTTGCTAGACAGTTTACCCTTTAACTCCCACGATCTGATTGCCAACTCTTTCCTCAAGCTGTTATACATTTCCTTGTAAATCAGTTACGTGAATTTGGTGTTAGGTCAAGCGAGATACAACTTCTACTCAAAACGTTTGAGTGTACAGCTTACCTGTTTTCCTTTTTACCTTTTACTTTATTGGAAGTTGAAGGGTTAACACTCGTGTTCTTTTTCACTCTCACGAATTGGAGGTGCATTTGTTAATGGTGCATGCCACTCAAAACTAATTCAGTGTTTTATTTAGTTCTTTTCAGGTACTTTCCTGATATTTTCTTAGTTCAGTTTAGTTTTGTCTATATTCTAAATTTTTGATTAATAGTGTTTGACAAAAATATGAAACTGATACATAGATTTTATTTCAGATTTTAAATTCTCAACGCAGTTAATTTCCACCTTAGTGGTTGCAGGAATAATTGTGTTTCAGGTCAGTTTGATTTTTCCGTGTCATGTAACTGCAATGACTTCGGTTGCGCCCACTGTTCACAAGCTATCTGGATAAATTTTCTACCGAAAACGGAGCTATTAAAAAACCTTCTTCACATTAAAACGCAGCCTTAAACTAAGATTGGAGCAGCTTTCCTCGCAAATTCGCATAAATTTTCGCTGCATTATTACGTAAAAAAATATCGTATTTTTTCACGTGTGTTGTAACAGCTTTTATTACATAAACTGCGGTGTTACACAAGGATTTCCGGCCCGGAGAAAAGCCGTAACAACACACGTGAAAAAATATCGTGTCTTTTTACGTGTGTTGATATAGTCAATCAGCTGCTTACACGTTACTCGCCTTTGACGTCACACGGCCAGGTTGATGAATGAACGGCCTTCACGATTCTCAATACAAGTTGTTTGTCGGAGCTTTCTGGCGGCTTAAACACTAAACAATCCGTATCGCTAACAGACAATGAGGTTCAAACTTTCCTAGAAGAGGAAGAAAACCAATATACTAAAAGAAAAGCCGAAAGTTGCGTATTCAGTGGCTTTGGTGGTAGCATTTCTCTCGGCTGAGAATAAAAATCGACTACCAGATGATTTGCTACTGGCCGATTTTGGCCGTTTACCTGAAAGACTTCTCCTGCCGGTAAGAACAAAGTCAATAAATGAGAATTTTGTAAATCGAAAATTACGGCCATTGTTGTTTTTATAATCATGATTCAACGCATTTTTCCATCTTAAGAGTGAGCGCCAACGCACTCTACCATTGTTATTCGAGGATTGTTGATTCATTTATTTTCATTCATTAATGAAGTCGGCTTTTCTTCCCCACTGAAGGGCTATTGTGTTTATATGATAAACAAAATAATACAGGGTTGCTTGCAGATATGGAATTTCTCTTATCGTGTTCAACTTGACATCTCACGAGTGAGCGCAGCAGTTAAACACTCGAAGAGAAATTCCATATCTACGCACGCCCATGTATTATTCTCTATTTCTCAGGGCTGGAAGTCCTTGTATAACACCGTAGTTTTTATGATAAACGCCAAATAATTAAAAAAAATACTATTTCTTCTTATATTTTTTTTCAGGTTATGTTGCATTATCTCTCGTTGTTTGATTACTACGAAAAAGAAGTTGTCTCGTCTTGTGTTCACGACCCCATTTGTCGGGGATTTGTTCCTCTCTTATTTCGTAAGTTTAAGGCATTTTTTGGAATCTATTGGTGAAAATAAACTAACTGTTTTGTATAGGAACTATAACCTTGTAAGTAATGTGTTTTGTAACTCCCCCAGTTTTATTCCGTCAGTCCCCACTCCGCCATTCCATCCACTTGCCAGTCTGGTATTTTCTTCAGATAGCCAATCTTTTATTAAAATTAAAATTACTTTAGTTACTGACGTGAGTCAAAAGAAAAAAAAAACAAGCTTAAAATGTTGCCAGCAAGGACATGGATGAATACACAAAAATCTCGCTTTCTCGAAAAATGGTGTCACTCGCCACCGGAGTTATGTTGTAATATTCAAGACCCGCAATTGTGTGCAATTCTGTCGATCTTGATATGCTTTACAAGTCTCGAACCCAGATCTAACCGTGTGACTGTAACTGCAATTGACCGTGGAAGGTCTGGGTGATGAATATGAAAGCGATCTTCTTAGTAATGAACACCATTTAAGCAGTAGTGGGCATAAGGCCTGAAAAAAATTCAGGTCTGTTTAGGATTTGAACCCATGACCTTTGCGTTACTGGCGTAGTGCTCTAACAACTGAACTAACAAGCCAACTGGGTTTATTACAACCCAGCATAGTGCGAGACCAGCTCCCAGTTTTCATCAATCACTGCAAAGATCGCGTAAATATTCATTTCTGAAACCGCAGTTCACATATATGATATTTGTACCTTCAAAGTCAAACGAGACTAATGTTGTACTTTACTGTGACTTGAAACAGATGCTTTGGAGGGAGGAGTTATTACAGCAGCTACCGTTTCTATTTTGTTGATGCTGCATTTTATGAAATGCCACAGGTAGGTTAAATAAGATTCGATGTCCTCACGATCATTGTGTTTTTGTCTTCTTGGGAGATAAGAAGAACAGTATGGAAAATATGCATAATGATGATGATGATGATGATGATGAAAGGGTTAAGTCTTCTACATGTAAATTAACAATTGGTTCATACGTCAGCATGCGTTCCTCGAGATATGAAGCACGCGGGAAGTTTGGAGAGCACGAAAGATGCGTAAGAGCTTCTTGAGTGTTCTCCAAACTTCCCAAGTGCTTCATATCTCGATGAACGCACAGCTGATGCATGGACCAATTGTTTTATAACAGTTTTAACCCGATGGAAAAATTTTTTTCGCGATGGATTTGTTTGCTGACGTCATGAGCGTGCACAATAGGAATATGAAGCACGCTCGTGCAATTGAATTTGATGAGGCAAATTTACGAGATATGTCATAATTTACTTTGAAGGAGGAGAAAGGACTGATAATTCGCTAAGCTCAAGCATCTTGCTAAATATCCCACTCTTTTAAACCTTTCAGATCTCATTATTTCACCAATCTTACCTGCTCAGTACTCCATTTGAATGATAGCTTACAAATATGTTATTTTTGATTCAAGAGACAATGTGTTACAGATGTATCGAGGCCAAAGAACTTTTTTCCAAGACGTGACTGTCTCTCCTGCGAATTTAGTGGTGGGTTACTATGCCTTCTGCTTCCAGTGTTGCGTTACTTTGTGCTATAGTTCGCGTTACATAGTTTGTGTTGCATAAGTTTATACGTCGCCAGGTTTTGACTGACAGTCTTGTATGTTGCTAAGGGCCACGTGCGCCTGGATTGGATAAGACTTTGAGGGTTAGATATGATACAAATATAAAATACAGTCTTTCGGGTGAAGACAAGTGTAATTTACGAACTAGCAAGTGTGTTATGATTGCATGTGCGACAGTTACTAATGCTCAAAACCCTGACATCTCACGACTTTGACTTCTTTGCAGCCAGATCTCGTTCGCGTTCGAACTTATCAAGTCAGTAAGACATCGGGCAATTTTGGTTATTGATCATGCTTAACCTGTTTTCTTGGAATTATGAGACCCTTTCCTCCAACAACGGACCCTTGGAAACGAGTTTACATCAAATGTTGAGTGACAACACGTGTCACTCACAACACGTGACTGCAGCAAGACATAAAAATGACAAAACCCGACGTCACTTACTCACGTGTACTAGTTCGATTACAACCAAGAACTTTCCATGTTAACAAAAGTGGTTTATTTTTTACTGAAAACTTTATGTTGGTCACTGTTGTTTCAGGGACAAAGTTTGTTATTTTCTGGATACCAGATTGCGTTTGTTCTAACAGGTATGTAACAGGCATTTCTGAAAATTTACAATGTAAAATATTTTTTCTACAAGGTGTCAAATCGTAATGGTACTGTGATTAACAAATATTTTTACCTGGGGTATGTTGGGCTATTTTTTAAGCTTTTCAACTAATGACATTTATTATTATTTTTAGGATACACTGTATTGAGTTTTTTCCTGGCCATCATAGTTGTCAGCCTCACTGCCATTTTCAAGTACATCGATTTTTTAGTTTCACCGGAAATGTTAGAGGTGTACAAAAATATTGGACAGGCCTTTGCGTAAGTTTCATGCTGCTAGATTCACTGTTAAACATGAACTTTACCAATTTGTTTCCTTCATTACCTTAATCAGTTTGAAATAAACATTCCGTCAACAATGGGAAAGGAGAAGGATACTCCTTGCCCAACTGCGCAAAGTAGAGTACAAAAGACGGGCAGACAGAGGACAATTATCCTGTCGTACTGTACAGTTGGTTTTTTTGTATTGTAGTGGATACCTGTTTAACTGGTCGACTGCGCGCGACTGTGCTTCTTTGCTTTCCCCGTCGTACGCGAAATGAGCAGAAATACTTGACAGAAAAAAATAAACAGTTAGATAATAAATAACTTATCCGACATTTTGGTGTGGTATTGTTTAGTAATTTACTCTCTGTTTACATTAAGGCATAACTCGTTCACTTACTCAGCGAGAATACACACCAAAACGTCTTACAGGATATATTTATACCTCATATTGATCGAGTTCGAGGTCCATACTGTAATAAACGGACCGAGTACTCTGCTTAGATTTATGGCCCTGGTGCGAAGCGCGCGGGAGGGGGGTCAATCTCGGTCAATTTTTTACAGTGCTTACCTCAAACACGACTAATCAGAGGTGGCGTCCTTCCCCTCCTCCCCTCAGTGTACGCCTTCCACCCCTAGCACTTCCAAGGGATAATGGATTTTTTTTATGAATGCCATTTCAGGCCACCAGTTTGCTTGGCAATTTGCTTGTGGCTGTACCAGTTATTCCTCACCTACTACGTATTTCGAGACAGAGACTTTCCGAATATCACAATCACTGTTGATAACAGGCAAGTTCATACGAAATAAGTAAGTATTTCATGTGCCATTTTTTTCCTTTTTTCTTCTTCTCCATTTTCTTACTGAGATGGTTTTTCCACAGACGGTTTTACTCCATTATGTCCTACTTCTTCTTCTTCTACAATATACTCCTTGGACTGTTCTCCTGCATCATGCGAATTCTAAAAGGCATGATTTTAGGAGTGATCTTCATCTCTCGAATCGACCGAACCTCACTTATGCAGGGATTCCAGACTTGGGACAAAGGTATGGAAGCAAGGGGGGAGGGGTGGGGATTAGTTGTAAACGTTAGAAATCGGTCGTGATGAGTCACGATCAATCTGCTTGGAGGTGAGCCAGGAAGATTGGTTCGAATTCAGCAAGTCGAGGCTTAAAAGTAAATTCTGTAGGAGAAATAATTATCATCAAACGACGAACTCGTCTAATATAATAAAAGACAAGAAAAAAACGAACGAACAAACAAAAACAAAACAAAATGAGGCATTTTTTTTTCTGTTCTTTTGCGTGTTCGTGGGTATGTTTTTAGTTTGCTTGCTATTTCATTCGCTCAGGGTCTTCATGGTATCATCTTTTTTTAACGCTATTTTCCAGCCTTCGTGGCATATCTGGGATTCATCCACATACTGGTGGCTCACAACCACCCTGTTATGCTGATGTTTTGCCAGCTGCTCATCAACAGCAACAAGGATCGTCAATATGGCACAGTGGGGAGGGAGGGTAAGGAAGATACTAACAGTATTAGAGGAGTAAAGGGTTTGGACTCAGGGTTTTTTAAACATTTAGTCTTCGACTCCATCTAAAACAAAATGATTATGATGATAACGGTATTGATAACGATAACGTTGTGGAAGGATTAGATTAACGATAAAAGTTGTGATAATAATCGAGATTATGATGATGATAATTAAAGTGATAACGATGATGATGATAATTGTAGTGATAACGATAATGATGACGATGATGTTGATTATTATTACCATTATAAAATGATAATCGAGCTGTTTGTTGAGCACTGAAGAAACTGAAGTAAAATAATTGTTCAATATCTTAACTTTTCAAATTTATTTCCAATGAAAACATAAAAAAGCTTTAATGCCTGTAAATATAAGGAATTGAATATGGAAGCGATCTTCGAAGTAATGAACAAAGAAATTCAGGCCTGACAGGATTTGAACCCATGACCTCTGCAAAGCCTTTACAGCGCTCTACCAACTGAACAACTGAACCGGAAACGCAGTGAAGCGCAACTAATCAGGGGGCGTAGGGCATTTTAACAGCCTCTTCGGGCAGGCGTCTTTTCTCCCCTCCCCCGCCCCCCTACCCCCACTGTCCACTCTAACTGCAAATCAAAAATTGTCGGTCGAACAAACGATCGCGAGCTTTTAGCGGCAGCTCGCACTAACAAGACGCCTGCACTTCAGGCTATCGAAGTAATGAACAAAAAAATTCAGGCCTGTACAGGATTTGAACCCATGACCTCTGCAATGCCTGTATAGCGCTCTACCAACTGAACTAACAAGTCAACTGGGGGCTGGTAATTATATTGGTTCCAAATAAACCCGTCTATAAGTAGTGTTCAATGCTGCGAAGATCGCTTCCATAATTTATTTATCCGCAGTTCATGTACATGATTTTCATTTATATTTACGGTCATTTAATCACCACCCTTATCAGTTCGAGCAAGTAATTTTCGTTATGGCGGATATATAGAAATTGTATACTTTCGGGAGTTTTTCGTCCATCGATGGATCATCTTTGTTCACTCTAGAGTTACCAGGCCTATGTGTACAAAATTCGCATTCAGAGGATCAGAGTTCTGCTGGTGAGTTTCGTCGCTTTTATCTTGTCCCTTTTTGGGAAGAAAAAACATTGGCGATTAGTTGTGCCACCAGTGTAACATGTAATGACAAACTGTCATTTCTTTGTTTTTGCTTCTGTATTTGTTTGTAAGTTTGTTGTTTGTTTGCCTTTTCCAAAAATACAGAACATTATGTCTAGCTTGGGCAACTTGCTTTAAGATTTGAGGAGGAAGTTTGTTTCATTCGTCTTTTTTTCGGATTCATTCTAGTACACGTGAGTAAGTGACGTCGGGTTTTGTCATTTGCATGTCTTGCTGCAGTCAAGTGCACGTCTGTTGCCACTCAACATTTGATGTAAAACACCTTCATAGCATATTCAACACATTCTTAAAAGGTGAAATTGTTTAAGAAGTTTGAAGGACCATCTACCTAGTCTCCTTCTTGGCCGTTTTTTGTCACGTTCCGCAGCGCGATCTATTGGAGGGGAGAGAGGGCGTTGCGTTACGATATCAAACAACAGCTGCGACCTACATTAGATTGCGACCTAGACTAGTTGGCTTGACTGGTATTCCATACCAACCAAACCAATCGCTTTGGCTTTGTTTTGTTTACTTTTTATTTAATTTTTGTCTGTTTGTTTATTGATTTTTCTTGTTTTGTTAAAGGTCATCCTGAGGCCCGTGTATTCCGGCCACCACACATGTCTCACCAGGCGATCAACCGCTGGTTCCTTGCTTTCACGCTTCTTCGAAATCCCTCTCTCGTGAAGTATCGCCGGCGGTGTGCCAGAGAAGCCAAAAAATGTAGCGTCTCTATTAAAGATGCAAACTATGGATCCGTCACACCGATTTGATCTCGGTAATTTCTTTTTCCAAATTGATTCACCCAATAATAAAAATAGAACTTCCAGCTGAAGTAACAATTCGAAGGGTAATTGGTCTCGCTCGTCGCAATCTTCTATTCAAAACTTTCAACTCTGTTGTAGTCTTGTATGTGAGGATCAGATCTGTGTATAGTGTCTTATATAGGTAGCAGTTTATAACTGCGTGAAAATGCACCTGGCTATTATTGCCGTATTACAATTCTTAATTCTTTTTTTGTCCCTCGCCAGAAAAAAGGTGAACCCTCTCGTCCCTTGTCCGATTAACCCTTTAACTCCTGTGAGTGACCAAAACAGAATTTCTCCTTACAATATTAACATATAATTAAGCAGAAAAGTGAGGAGAATAAAGAAGAAAACTCAATTAGGGGACTACAAGTTGATCCAACACCAAATTCATGAGTATTTTATGCCAGACAGTAGGGAGAATTACTAATGAGATCTTAGAAGTTCAAGGGTTAAACCCCCTTCCCACTTGTACTCCTGATCGAAGTTCTAAGGTGATTGATCGATATTTTTACGATGTTCTTTTTAACTGGCTGTAAGAGGACTCTTAGTTTAGCCCAAGAACTCCTAGCTGTGGCACGTTGTATGAATGATTAAATTACAGAGGAATCCTGTGAGTTGTGTGAAGTTGTTAAACTGAATAAAGTTTAAGTCGTTATCTCTAGTACTGAATATTTCGTACTCTCCTTTGTCTCCAATCGTTCCTGTTCGTTATTTTTTTTTCTGGAGTACTCTGAAATTCGTAGCTCTTAAATCCCCTTCCAAATTCAGTCAGCTTGAACCCTCGACCTCCCGCAAGGCAGTTCAGCGCCCTACAACCTAAACAGGCGGCAGTTTAACGACAGACCACACCAGCGAAAAAAAAAAAAAAGGAAGTTTATGTTATCGTGCTACACTCTTGATTAATGAAAATGAAAACTAAAAAATGTTGTGTGACGCCAAGTCCCAACTTGGCGTTATGATAGTGAAACAGCATAGCCACAAAATAGAATCATGTATCACGAAATAAACAAATGATACAAGATTTTCAGTTTCGAGTTCGATGAGCTCATATTCAGCTTCTTCAATACTGCTGGTGTTACCAAGTGCATCGTTTTGTTACACACTTGTGGGGAAAATCACATCTTCGCAGGAGTTAAGGTGAGGACAGAATTAGTCAATGAGGATCCATTGCAGGGAATAAGATAGGCGAGTATTGACTAAATTACGTAAAAAAATAATTTGAAATACAAGACTAAAGAGTGAAAGAAATATCGATCGTATTTACTCGTGTCGAGCGCGGGAGAAAGAATAATATCGACTTCGCTCGAGGCTTCAAATCTTTGGCCTTCGGATTTCACGATCTGAAAGTTTGAACTTAGCGCCTTGCAGCTCTTGTTAATGCGCCAAAACACGCATTCTTTATACATGACAATCGTCCTGCATATTGCTAAGATCTGACATGTAGTTGTGTCATGTCTGAAAATAGATAAAGAAAGAACGTTTTGAGCTCTATTGTCGAATGAAAAATATTCATAAATCTTAATCTGCTGGTCTAGAGATTGAATCCTCAAAAATTTCTCTATTACACACTCGTGAAAATAATTAGAATCGTTCTTTACCCGACGAGTGAGGAAAAAAAATCATACTCTCCTTTTTTTATTTAAACTACAAAATTATTTCTCAATACTGACATACAGATTGTCATCATGAAAAGACCTTTAGGTAGCTTATTTACATATCCATGAGGAATCTATGAAACTACAACATTGCCAAGAGAATATCAACTGCTATTTTATTGATATTACTGATTCCGTCTTGTGTGCACCTTAGTAAATGGACTATAGTGTTTGTCTAATAAACAAAATAATTCATGTTTGCTTGTAAATATAGAGTTACTCTTCTCGTAATCACCTCGATATCTCACGAGTGAGCACGGCAAACGAGTAAGATATCGAGGTGATCACTTGAAGAGGAATTGTATTGTTACGATATTTAACTCACGGTTTGAAATTATTCTTTTTGATCCAGTTATGGCAGAGAGTGTCCTGCTCTGAGGAGAAAATGGAATTGCGGGTGTTTTCCACTCAAAGGGGAATAACTGAATTTGAATCGCAGAATGAAATAATCGTCACGCAGAAACATTTAAACAAATAGTAATAAAAAAATAAACAAACGATAACTTACTTGAAGTAGAAAAGGAAGTTTTGATCACGACTCTGGGAATTAAACGAGACTAGTAAATGTTTTAAACTAGTGAATATAAAATATTTCATGTTTTCATCGATATTGTTGTGAAGCAAATAATGTTCTTAATATTTTCAGGCATGTAGAAACAACAAAGAGCATCGTTTGGAGAATAGAGAGATTCAGAGGAAGACAGTGTAACAGGTACGAATCAATTTTTAAATTCCATATTATGACAGTTGTTTAGAGCTCATGTTTTTTAAAATGGAAGCGCGTAATCTTATGTTCCTTGCGCCTGACAACAATTAGCTTTCATTTCAATCGAATTTTCTTGATTTGCCGCTGTCATATGAAATATTTCACTTACATCACGCTAAAAAAATTCATTGGTTTCTCTCATATGATTAATGGTAATAGGACCGAGTGGAGTCCAATTCGGTCTGTAATCGTAGGAGTGATTAACAAAATCGGACGACCGCGAAGCGGGAGTTTGATTTGTCAATCGGAAGGATGATTTTGGGGGCTAAAAGGTTATTAGGCGGCAGCCGCACGTGATGAGAGCGTGACAGAGCTGGATGACAGCGTGACAGAGCTGGATGACCTGTTTTATTTATAACTCTCGTCAACATCAAAACCAGCCAATATTTCTCGAAAACGAAACGAGGCGTGAGGTTAAAAAAAAATACAAATACAAAATGCATTTCCATAAAAAAGTTTTTTCCCTATGTCTTAAGATCGCGGTTACAGTTTTGATGTCGCAAAATTCACGATGTATTGTAATTGTAGCAGTATTGTAGATGCCCATGGAATAGAAAACATGACATCTTCACCGCACGCAGTAACGCGCCATTGATGTCTTCACATGTTAAAATATCAATGTTGTCATAATAATCGGATTTATCAACATTACGGTAATACTTTCCGGGAAGGCTTTTATCTGCGAATGTGTCTAAGGTTTAATTCAACTTTAAAATTTAATAATTATAACAATGATAAAAATATAAAAAAATTATTTTAAAAAAAGGGGAACATTTCTTCTGATGAGATTTTGCGAAATTTTCATGTCTAAATTTGAAGTAGCTTTTTGGCAAGCTGCGTTTCGATGCGCCAGATCGCCTTTCGGTGCTCTCAAAATGTTTCAAAATGATCTGTGATTCACATTTGTTGTCGATATCTATATTAAAAGTAGGATAATACATGTTCACCGCTAGATAAAAATTTATCCATGATCTTGAGTTTGAAATATTTGATCGAAAAGAGAGCGATATTACAACAATCGATGGTAAATTTCGTATCCTTGCGCGGGTGTGTAATGTATGTACATCACTGACTAAGTATGAGCTAGAGAAGGCCAAGCTTCTTCTCTGCTGTATTCTTAAAGACCTTGAAGAAGGCTTCGTAAATAAAGAAATTGTCGCATGGAAAAAAAATACTACTCGCAACTCACGAAGCTCCTCGAGCTTTACTTTGTTTTGACTGAAGACGTATCTTTTACACAATTGTAGCCAAAACCTCCAGGTAAACCTGACTGTTCAGTCATGTGACAAAACGAGATTGTCTAGTTATGGCATTATACGAGTTATTTAACCGGCTACAATCCTCTTTTTTCCCCTTTTTTGCGGGATAAAAGGGAATTAAAAAGCAGTTCATTTTGCACTCTTGGGTAGCCGATCACTGCATAGGATTCGCCTAATCTTGTTTCCTCTCGGATCCCCCCACAGCATGTAAATAGCAGAGAAATTGGAGTAACGTGATAAAAAGCTAACAAAAGTGAAAATTTTAAGGCCTAAACCACAATGACTATTGATTCTCGATCACGTATGAATACGAAACCTCGCCGACGTCACAACAAATTTGGTTTTTTTTTTTTTTGAAGTCTAGCAAACATTATTCGACCTCCTCCACGAAACTTGGCACAATGATAATGTATACATTGATAAGAACTAAATTTTTGTCTTCAACTATTCGAACTACGTATCCACAAGGTGGTTACTCATACGAATTATTGAACATGTACGAAAACGAAACCTCGCCAACGTCACGGTTAATTATTTTGGATTTTTGAAAGCTTGTGAACATCATTCGACTTCCTCTTCGAAAATTGGCACAATAAAAACATAGACCTTGACTGGAAGTAAATTTTTTTAGTCTTGGGCAATTTAAGTTATGTATCCACAAGGTGGTTAGTCGTGTTATTTCTGGCCGGTTTTCGGTCAGAAGTCGGTTTTAGTAGATATGCTTTTCGCGCAAAGATATAAATTAGCACATATGTTTGCGTGTTTACATCGTACGCTGACAGGTAAAAATGAAGGCTCAGTGAAGCCGATAATGGTGCCGAGTCTTAATCTGAAGGACGATAGTCCAGTTCAACAGAGATTTCCCGAATATCCCATTCAAAACCATACAGCAACAGATAATTTTTCGTCCTCAGAAATGTGTTTACAGATAATCTTCCTAATTTGCGCTATCAGGAGTTTTTTGTTTGCTTGTTTCATTTCGCGTTCACTACTTCCATCGCGTGCTACGCTTGGTTCGCAATTTTTTTTCATTCGTAGCAGATAATTTTTCTTGATAACAAAAGTATTGCCAAGAGGACAACCAATGTCATTTCTCTGGTTCCCCAAAATAACCTCTTATTCAGAGCCTTCTGAATCAATTTGATTTAAAAAATTAAAAAACCAAACTTTCTCCGACACAATTTGTTATGGGCCAGCTACTTTCAGTTTTTCATATTTAACTAGCTCTTTCAAAAGAAAATTTATGGAATTTTCTCTAGCTTTGTGGAAAATTTTACCCATGCGCTTTATGAAATAACTGGGACCTTTGGTTGATAGGTGTTTTTGAGTGACGGTATATGAACGCGATCCTTTAAGTAATGGCTCGGGAGAGGGGGGGGAATGGTAGACTTCGTGACGGTTACGCAAATCCTCGCCTGTGTTTTGTCTTAATGATTCAGTAGTGAGTACTAAGCCCTTTGACGGTTAATGCCAACTTTTTACTTAAAACGAACTTTTAGGTTAAAAGAGCCTAGTGGTTCGCAAGAAAAGCAAAAAACAAAACAAAAAAAAAGAACTTCAATGATGATAACAATAATAGTACAAAATTCCAAAAAAGTTATCCATGCATTATGTTTAAGTAAAATATACAAACTTTAAGGAGTCTTAAGTTTATCGGTTCAAATATAGGTCGAGTGGCTTTCCTTCCACGTCCAGTTAAGTCAACACAGCGGAACGTGACTCGAGCTGTCACGCTACCACGATAGCGTGACAGGAGAAACCTTGGGACTCTTTATTTTTCTCGACCTTCTCTTTAGATTACTTTCATTTCAGTCTCCTTTGATTTGTAACCATGATTTCTAGCGCATTAGAATCGACTCCATTTTATTTCCAGCTATG